ACCACTCCCACCACATATATTGCGGGACAGAGAATGGAGTACTGAGGCAGTAGGAGGGTGGTGTCGATGGAGCTGGGGGAGGGCCTGCATATCAGATCTGCTGGGGCCCAGGGAGGTGGGACCTAGGCCAGATGGCTTCCAGGAGGCAGGATGGAGAGTTGAAGCCTGAGGAAGGGTGAGGGAGATGCAATTTGCATGTAGAGCCTGCACTGCCCGCAGCCTCTCGGGGTCCGAGGGTCCAGATAAGGTTTCCTGTGTCCCACAGGCCATGTCTTGTGCAGTCCAGGCTCATCCCTGGGGTGCTTCTCTCCCACCACCACCCCCAACTTTTACTAGTGTAAGTCCCCCTGTTCTAGGCCAGATGCCTTGGGCAGAACTGGGAACTTCCCACCTAAAGATCCGGCTCACGGGAGAATCAGTGAAGTATGAGAAGGAGAGCCACTCAGCACACCAAACCAACAGCTGAGCAGTCAGCCAGTCAAGGAATCAGAAGAGGACTTTACAATCCAAGGCGTTAAAATCTCAGCCACACGTGGGGGCTGGAAATAAGCCATGGGACAGGGATAGGCATTGGTGAAACAAAGGGAGTGTGAAAGAACCTGCCAGAGACCTTGAAATGTTTTAATGTATTAAAAATGAAAAGCCAGTAAATGGTCACAATGAAGACTGGATGCATGGGCTGGAATAGCAAGACAAATGCTAGAGTTAGCAAGGGGGCTCTGAAAAGGGAAAGTATACAGGAAGTTGTCAGAGGATTTACTGAAGACCTGAGAGTCATAGGGAGACAGAAAAATCCACACGAAAAAGTTCAAAATGATCAAGGCGTCCTCACTCAACATGTCCTTCATTCCACACCCAGGTGAATTCTCTGTAGGCCCTCACCCACCCGGATCCCAGCCTCATTTCCTTAGCCACTGACTTGCCTCCCCTTCCCTCTTACACCTCCACATCCAGGCTGAGACACCTGCAGCAACCATGCCCTGGGCAACTCACATACCCAAAAGGTATTTTCCTGACACAGACTTGCCTTTATTTAGAAGAATCTGATGTTAGCTCTTAAGGCTATGCATTTTTCCTACTTTCTGTGGACTGTGATAAAGAAGGTCTCCTGGTCGCTGACTGGGCTCAAATTTAAACAAACAAACAAACAAACAAACAAACAGAGCCTAATGGCCATTTCTAAACTGAGGCCTCTCATGAAAACTGCACTTCAGTGAGCAGCCTGCACTCTACCTGCATTTGCACTGAGCTGCCTGCCTGCACCATGCCTGCCATCTGAGCCAGCCCTTGGAATCCTATTTCGACCAACAGGACTGAGGCTTTCCTAATCCAATCAGAACTGCACAGCAATATCCCATCAGCTTCTTTACTGACCAATCAGAGCAGCTCCATTTTGATCAATCGGAATAGTGCCCTTGGGCCATTGAATCACAAAAATTTGGAGTCCTCATTTGCATGGGGATGGAACACTCAGGGACCAGGGACAGCGACCTGTGTTGGTATAAGCCAGCTCTCCTATGGCTCAGAGAGGGCACTTTTTAAAAATATATATATATATTATTGATTTTTTTACAGAGTGGAAGGGAAAGGGATAGAGAGTTAGAGAAAGGAAAGGGATAGAGAGTTAGAAACATCGATGAGAGAGAAGCATCTATCAGCTGCCTTCTGCACACCTCCTACTGGGGATGTGCCCGCAACCAAGGTACATGCCCTTGACCGGAATCGAACCTGGGACCCTTCAGTCTGCAGGCTGACGCTCTATCCACTGAGCAACCGGTCAAGGTCCCGGGCCGTCTTATTCCCACGAACCCAGCACGCAGCAACACCAGCAGACCAGTCAGACTGCTCACTACACGCCCGCCCAAGCGCGTTTTCCATTGGCTCCGCCTACAAAGGCGGGCCCGCCCCTGAACGTCGGAAGGAGGCGCGTTCTGGGAGGCAGCGCTGCATGCTGGGATCGGTGGTCCACGGCGCGACCTCGGCCGAGGCGGCTTCTTCGCTCCCTTCAGCCCTCATAACCCGCGAGTCCAAGCGGTTCCGACGTCCTGGCCCGACCCGCACAGGCCCAAGGACAAGACGCCCGCCAGCCTCGCCGGGGGTGAACCTCGGCAGGAACAGTTCCGGGCACCTTC